CCATCCCATGAGTGCCTTACCCAAGGGAACCTTTACTTTTGATTCACAGACTGAGCTCTGACCTCACAGGGGCTTCTTCCATTCCATCCTTTGATGACTTTAAAGGCTGTAGAAAGACTCTGGATTTGCAGTGTTTTGGTCGTGGGGCCTTGTCACTGCACTGACCAACCATTCTGGAAGTGTTCAGTAGTTTTAATAGTTAATGTTTGCAATGTTTCATCTGAATTATATTTCTTTATTGTTCAAAATCAAATTTTTCTCAAGTCTAAGTGAGTCTTTGCCCTCAGAAATAGGTAAGAGAAACAAATTTCAGCCTTGCAATAGGACTGCTGGAGCACCACTTTTCATCAGAAAGAAATGTCCTCAGTACTTTGTTGAAAATTAACTCCCCAAAGTTTTTAAAAGAGGGCCACATGAAACAGGAGACAAAATGAACACAAATTACTTTTCCAAAATATGAAAACTATATATAATGACAGAGGCTCCTAAAGATTTCCTGGGTTAGATGCTCTGCTCTGTTCCTGAGTAAGGAAAGCAGCATTCTCCACCAGGCTGTTAATTCCATGGCAAAAGCCTGGAACAGGAGTTTTGTCATTTGTTTCCTCTTACATGAGGAATGAGGCTGAAAACTGAAATCTTCAATATCACAGGTCCTGAGCCATTTTGGAGGAGGGGAACTAAAAAAAAAAAAAAAAAGCCCTTTTCTTTTAAATAGGCAACTTCTTTTTAAATATGGATGCACGAATCTAACTTTAGCTGTCCAGGTTTTCACATTCCTGATCTCAAATACAGAAAGTGGAGCACTAATTTAGTCTCTTGACTTCAAGGTTATCATTCATTGAGGTCAATGACTCCTTCTCTGAAAAGGAGAACTTCCACTTTCAATATGAGAAACGTCGCCCTTCACTGAGTAACTTCACCCCACTCCTTCCTGGCTGATTCCTCACAAACCCCAGGCAGAAACACAGCACCAACCACTCCTGCAAAGGGATTTATCTATGGAAAAACAGTGGTTAACCCTGCAAACATCCAAGTCCTCATTAGCTGGTTATATTTAAAACTTCCCTCCTAATGAGCAGCCCCGGCTCGTCCATTATTTTATCAGTATCTTGTGTTTATGTCAAACTTCTGCTGAATATCCACCAAAAACTGCCTGAAAAACAGAGTCCAACATGTGAACAAGTTACTGAGGGACAGATTCCAACTGGAACCAAAGGCACACACCAGAAACAAACCCAGTGCCAGCCCCTCCTGGGCTCCAGGAGGGAATGAGCACACGGGGCATCCAAACCCAGCTCCAGGTTTATGCCAACAACATCCCCTCCCAAAACACACTCCAGGGGTGCAATTACTCCATGGGAACCAGAAGAAGATGGAGGTAAGGGATAAAATAGGGATGGCCCAGAAAGTTTCTGGAATTCCCTGGTAAAAAAGTAGCTCTGCCTGAGCCAGTTCAAAGGCAGGGTTGGGGTTCCAAACACAGAGCAGCAACAGGGACACGGTTTATTCTGACAGGGTTTGTTTTTTTCCTGCTTTGTTTTGGGGTTTTTTTTACTACTGACACGTACAAAAACATTCTTTAAAACAGCTACAGGCTCACTGAAATCAGTGGTTAAAATATTAGCAATATGAGACGTCAGAGACGTGGCCCAATTTGAAATTTTCAGGTTTTTCTTACATAAAAGCAACACCTGAACACTTGCAGATCATAAACTCAACCCAATCCCAGAAATTCCCAGAAATTTTTACTCTGGATTTGTTATATTACTTTAGGAAGTAATACAGCTGGGGGAAGACACGTGCAAGGATTGATTATTTCATTGCTCTTGCACTGTTCTAATTGAAAACGTTGGATTGGCTTTTTTTCTTCTTTTCCAAACATGAATAGTTGAATTTTTTAAAGTTAAGAGCAATAAGAGCACCTCCAATGTTTTATCAAACAATGCACCATCACATTTGCTTGGCTCTCAACACCTCTGGTGCATTCTATATGAGAATAATTTGATATTATGCTACTCTGTTTTCTTACAAAGGTTAAGAAAAGAAGATTTTAGCTCTTCAAAAGCCTAAAAATCAGACAACTCAACATTTTTAGATACATATTCCCAGGTCAAAAAGTCAAACCCAGAAAGCTGTTACAAAACCAGAGGATCTTTATAAGGAATCTCCATAAAGAGGAGGGGGGAAAAAAGTAACAACCAAGCACAGAGTTACACTGGGATTAAAAGGAGCAGGATAAGATGCAGCAATAACTTTGGAACATGAACTTTTAGTCACAAGGTGAATCCTTCTCTGTGGGAACACAGCACAGTCCCAAATTTGATGCTACTTACACTCATTATAACCACCAGCATAACTGCAACCATAACTGTTAGGTTCCTTCCCTTCCCAAAATGTCCTGGAGGGACTTTCTCTGAAACACAACCTTGGCTTTTCCTGCAAGGAGCTGAGCCCCAGCTTTGCTTATTGCAGAGTGTTTCTGGGAAAGCCAGGATAGATCCTAAAAAGCCTACAAGGAAACATGGAATCCTAGAATCAGTAAGGCTGGAAAAGAGCTCTATGATCATTGAGTCCAAACCCTGCCAGCTCCACCACTGACCCCCGTGCCCAAGCAGCACATCCATGGTGGGCACTCCAAACCTCCCTGGGCAGCCCCTGCCAAGGCCTCACCACCCTTTCCAGCAGGAAATTTTTCCCAGAATCCAACCTGAGCCTCCCCTGGCACAGCTGGAGGCCGTTCCCTCTCCTCCTGTCCCTTGTTCCCTGGCAGCAGAGCCTAATTTCTCCTCTAGCTTCCCCCTCCTGTCAGGGGGTTGCAGAGCCAGAAGGTCCCCCCTGAGCCTCCTTTTCTCCAGGCTGAGCCCCCCCAGCTCCCTCAGCCCCTCCTGCTGCTCCAGCCCCTTCCCAGCTCCCTTCCCTTCCCTGCACACCCTCCAGCCCCTCCAGGTCTCTCTCCCAAGAACTGGACACAGCCCTGGAGGTCCCTCAGCAGTGCCAGCACAGGGGGACAATCCCTGCCCTGGGCTGTGCCCACACTATCCCTGATCCAAACCAGGTGCCTTTGGCCTCCTTTGTTTGTTTTCCTGGTTATTCAAACTGGAAAACAACATTCAATATCCCCATTTCTTCGCATTTTCAGGGTTTGGGGTTTTTTTTTAGCACATTTCTGTGTTTTCAATCTGAAATTAAAGTATTCCACGGTAGAAAAAGTGACAAAATCCTCTTCCTTCACAGGATTGTTTCCCCCAGTTACACTGTGGGTAATTTTAGGGGTTTAGAGTAGGTCAGCTTGCAGGGAAATAAAGTGATGCCCATTAGAAGCTTTCACCCTTTAGCCAAAGGTAGTTCAGACACCACCAGGCACCTCTGACCCCTCACCCTCAAGAAACCTTCTTGAAAATGCAAAAGAGCCATCACCAGTAACCACAAACCCTCTCAATTCCGGGCCTGAGCTCTCACCAGCTCCTTTGAACCTCAGCAGAGTCACCAGATGACTCTTGTTGCTGCCCTACAAAATAATCCCAGTTCAGGTTTTCATTCTAAGGCTGCAAATCTTGTTTATTCTCAGGAACTCAGCACACCAACAGTGGCTCTCCTAACAAAGAGAAAACTGAAAATGATCTTACTGGTCTAACTTCTAATGTGTCAGAAGCCTGAAGGATTTTGTCAGGGCACCACTGTTTTTCAATCTGTATTTCTCATGGGACTTGTGAACAAAGAATTTGGGCTGCAGAAGACAGAATTACGACTTAAAATTTCAAAATCTTGTCTATATTTCTGTTCTTTAAGCTCATCATCCTCCAAGCTCAACATCATCAGAAATCCTGACCCAAACTGAAAGTGCTTCAGTTGGAAGTTTTGAATCAGATTAATGGACTGCAATTTGAAACTTCATTCTCTCAAACATGAGGCACTATTTCATACCATTATCTCTCCTTTCAGTGGTAGGACGAGCACTTTGAAAGCTTTTCAGAACATTTTCTCAATATTTAAGTTACACTTGAACCTGTGACTACTAAACAAGAGCTCCCCACACTCGATGGGCCACCCGAAGATGCAATTTGGAGAACTTCAGGTATTTAAACCAAATTAATTATCCTTTTGGCTTAGTTTTTCTTTCTTCTCTCCTTCACCCAAGCTAATTTTAGAAGCCTTTAGACCCCAGTTTCACTCGAGTTATCACCACCCAACTCCCAGCCACTCAAGTGGGGGATGAAGGATGTTTAGTCCTCGCTGAGTGAAATCTCCACTTGCAGCATCTTGGGCTTAATCCAAGAGGCTCCCTGTAAATATACCCTGCAAAGCTGTTTATGCAGGAACAGCTGATGCAACTGAAAACTGTCAATCAGGAGATGAGCTGGATGCACACGTAAATCCACCGAGGGTTTCTTTCCCAGCCCCGAGGATTCCTGGGCTTTAAAGCTGAACAAGCAACCCCAAGGATCCCTCTCTTAGGTGTGTTTTTGGCCCCAAGAACTGCTTCCAAAAAAGTGGTATTTTGGTATAAAGAACTCCACCAACCCTCTTGGATAAACTCTTATTTTATTCTATTTCTATAGAAAATATGGATTATTTTTCCAGCAAAAGAGTATCACTAAAAATTATCTGTTGAATCTGCAAATATATCTGTCACTTAGAGGATTTTAAGCAGGCAAAAATGGAAGAACTTCCTAAAACATCAATTTTAAGAAGGGGTAACAACTTTTTCTTGCATGGGACATCCCCAAGAATCAGCACATCTTCAAAAGCAAACCCTAACACTTGGCAAACAGTTATTTCCATTCAGTGAAACCATTTTGTTCCTGGGAGAAGAAGAGTTTCCAAAGCTGCAGAAGGGCAAAAGAAAGATTTCCAAACTCAAAAAGGTTCAAAATTTCAAAGGTTCTTCAATATTCTGCTAAGTTTGGAATTTTAGGGGTAGGGAGGATGGAAAAGAAACAAAAAGCACATGAAAACATCAACTGTTTTCCCCTCTAAAAAGCCTTGAAAAATCAGCTTACCTGTATGCATCGTCTTCTTTCAAGTCTCATATCATCCTGCGGGGTTGAGGGGACAGGGGGAGTCCAGCAGCAAACAACACTGCAAAAGGAAGAGGAAAACAGGGATAAATCTCCATTCCAGGGAGCCACAGGAGCTCAGTCCAACCCCAGACCTCAGCAACAACCCTGGAGCTGAATCAAGAAGTTCAGAGAGAAAATGAAATTTTCTAACAGTAAAAGCAGAAATTACCAAGATTTAATTCCCACTGATATCTGTTGTTAAAAAAAACCATTATCTAACTGTCAAATTCCAAGGATTAACTTAAATTTCAACTGGTTGTTTAACAGTTATGAAAATAAAGGTCACCCATCTTTGCCAAGCCCTTAAATATGGAGATTTTTACAGAAACTCAGGACAATGTTTATAAAACATGACACAACTTGTGGGATTTTGGTGAATTAACAAGCTATAAATGCATATAAATCCATAAATGTAAAGGTCCATTTTTCCTCCTATCCTGAGGAAATTGAGTTAGGGTCATTTTACTGAAAAGTAGAATTATACTTTCTATAAGATAAAGAGATTTAAAGACACGAGTTTCTAGGAAGAAAACTCCAAGAGGAGTTAAAAAGAAGAGCAAAATTATGCCAAAAAAAAAAAAACCACCAAGCCCAAAACAAAACACCCAACAACTAAACCTGGTCTAAGTATGTCTCAAGTATTGGTTTTTCATTTGTTCTCCAATGGTTTTTTTATCACTCTGCAACCTATGGAAGCACCAAAACCGCTCAGAAATTCCTGAGGATTTCAGAGAACTCTGCAAATTACCAGCTGAAACTGGACAGTCAAGTTATTACTATTTAAACACCTCCTGAAATATGTAACTTCCAGAAGTGTGTCCGGCCTAAAATGCACTTAAGACGCTGCAATTTGAGCAGAAAACGTCGCCGTTCGCTCCATTTCCCCCCAACAAGGAGTGTTTAAGCCCTGCCCAAACCCCCCCTAAGCCCAGTTGGCCTTCCTGCCACCACACTGGGCTTGTCCTTGTGCCACACAATTGGGGAAAGGGGGGTCAGGAAGACAAGGAACAGCTCATTTTGGATCCATGGAGGAGCACGTGTTGCTGTGGTTTTGGGGGTATTTTATGAGCAGGTGAATTCTTGGTGTTCTCGGGGGAAAACCTGCCCATCCCACATCAGGAATTAGGTTTTTGCTGTTCCACAGAGCCCCAGAAAGTCACTGCCACAGCCACAGGAGCCAGGGACTTGGAAAAGCTGGGGAGCACAGCACAAGGCTGCACAAGATCCTACAAATCAGGCACTTTCGTGCCTAAATTGCCTCAATTTGGGTAAAAGGTTTGGTCTGGTGCTTCTGCTGAGGGTAAAAAACATCCCACAGACACACTGAGCTGGTCCCAGAAGGAAAAAGAAAGGAAGAGCAAATTCTTATTTAAACAAACAATAAAATGGTTTGGGTTGGAAGGGACTTTAAAGATCAGCCAGTGCCACCCCCTGCCATGGGCAGGGACACCTTCCACTAGCCCAGGTTGCTCCAAGCCCCATCCAACCCGGCCTTGGACACTTCCAGGGATCCAGGGGCAGCCACAGCTTCTCTGGGCAACCTGGGCCAGGGTTTCCCCACCCTCACAGCCAAGAATTAATTCCCAATATCCCATCTAACCCTACTCTCTTGTCAGTTTGAAGCCATTCCCCCTCGTCCTGTCCCTCCAGCCCTTGGAAATAAGTCTCTCTCCATCTTTCCTGGAGCTCCTTCAGGTCACAATCAGGTCACCCCAAAGCTTCTCCTCTCCAGGCTGAACAATCCCAGCTCTCCCAGCCTTTCCTCTCAGCAGAGCTGCTCCAGCCCTGGGATCCTCTTGGTGCCTCCTCTGGACTCCCTCCAGCAGTTCCATGTCCTGGAGCACCAGCTCTGTCCATCCCACAGGGGTGTCTCAAGGTTTCAGAGCCACACTCCCAGTTTTCAAAGCTCCCTCTGCCCAACAGACTTTGGTTTTCCCTTTGAACTGAAGCCCCACGGACACAGGGATCACAGGAAGCCTTTCCCAGCAGCACAACCACCTCCCATCCCACCAGTTTTGGGTTCTAACCCAGGTTAGTTCAAACTTAGTTTGAGCAAAGCAGATGACTTTCAGCCAAAATAAATTGTGGAGCTTCAAACACTGTCTCCTGGCCATTCCACAGTGGGAATGGTCAGCTCCCAGAGCAGCTGGAAAGGTAACTGCACAGCCCTGAGTTATTTTAGAATTTAAAAGACACTCTCAGAGCCACAAACGCTAAGGAAGAGCTGCTGCTGTGACAGAAAGTCCTTAACAGATTATTAACAGGGAATCAACACATCCATCCATCCCAGAGCTAACCAGGAAAACACATCCATCCCAAACCAAGGCACTTCTTCAGTCTCCTTCCAACTCTCCAACAATTTTCCCAACAATTATCTCCAACAGTTCTGGAGAGCTGGAGATCCCCTGTGGAACTCAGACCCTGTTTTCTAAGAAGGGACCCCCAACATAAAAGTGATTTTAAAACCCTTGCAGGGCCCAAACCCGGTGAGTTCCTGTGACTGTCACAGGATCTCACACACACACAACATAAAATGGTAACAATTTGGGGGGTTGTTTTTTTAAACAGACACCACCAAACTGCAGGGGCAGCACAAACTCAGTCACTGAGTGTCTTCTGCTGGGTCTCTGCACTGCCCAGAGTGCCCAAAAGGCCCTTTAGGGAGCCTGCAGAAAGGCTGCCTGGGTTAGATAATAAACTGATGTAAGAGGAGGCAGGAGAAAATCCTGCTCATCACATAGTTGGTCAGACCATGACTGGAAGGATCCCCTCAGCAATAACATTTACTGGGCTTGGAGAACCCAGTTTCATCTGCTTACTGGTGTAGGACAGAAAACTGGCAAGGAAGGAGGAGAGGAAGGAGGAGATGACAAGAAAGGTGTTAAAAAGCACATTATTGAAAGAATAAAAGCTGAAGGCTTTTATTTAAACAAAGAGAGTTCTTGGAAATCAGCTGTGTCTGAAGCCACCACAGTGACACTTTACCTCGTGCTTGTATTTCCTTTTTTTAATCACTGTTGCTTTCTACTCTTCATCTTTCCTACCCACACAATGCTCCTTTGATCTCCCCAAAATACAGGGGATGGAGTTACCTATCCAGAGCCACTCCATGTTCAGGAATAATTCCAAGTGCAGAGTTATAAAATGTTTATTTAGACACATCAAAGGTGCTGAGCAGGTTTATCCCAAGTCCCACTCCACAATATCATAAAGATGGTGACTCTGAATAATAATAAATAATAAATCCTTCATGTTCTCTGACTTTTGCTCACACCACAAGCCTGGTTTGCCTTTGGCCTCCTTGAGGGCTGATGTTTTATTCCCTGCATTCCTTGGGAGCATCCATTGCTTCCTTCAAAACACTCAATACCCAACACAGTCAATAGGTTCACTGCAGATCAAAGTTGGTTTCAGAGCAATCCCACTTCTAAAACCCTAAAAGTTAAAGTGCAAAAACCATTACTAACATGAAAATTTAATTAAAAGGAAAGTCTGCTGGGGAGGGTTTTCCTTTTTACACTTTACTAATTAAAACATTTCCTGTAGAGGTTTATTTTCCTTATTCAGTATCACTGTGTTATCAGATTCAACACGGCACCTTTTCCAAACTAATCACAGCAAAGTTCTTCTTTTTTTTTTTTTTTCCATCTGTGAAAAGATTATTTGGTAATTTTTCAAGTCACACTCCTGAAATCCAGAGAAATCCCTGCCCATCTCATGGCTGCCCAGGCTGCTGTCAGAGCTGAACATAATTCAGGTCACTGACCTTTGGGGAACACAGGCAGGGCCCTGTTGCTACCAACAGAAAATAGAAATACTTGCTTAGAAACAACTAATTTTTTTTTATTATTTACCAGGGAAATTATCTTGTTAAATTGAGATTATTGACACACTGGAACATAATCAATTTAGACACATATAAACCTGAGCTATGCACAGGCAACCAAGGATGCTGCTCAAAATAAAACAAACTGGGCAAAAGATTCACCAAACACCCCAGGTTTGGTGCATTATTTCAAATGCTGAGTAATAAAATGCCACCAATTACCACCAAAACCACTGGAGTTTACTGTAAATAAATAAATAAGCCTCTCCAAGTGCTTAGTGACTGTCAACTTCCAGAGAGACACAAGTGAGGAATTCCAGACTTGCTGGTTTTCCAGCCCCCAGCACATGCAGCCTGTGCTTTGTTCCCAGGGAAATCCCGGGTGTTTGATGGACAAACTAACAGGGATCTGAAAACTAAACACTCTGTTCTGCTTACAACATATGTGAGGATCTGTCCAAGGAATAATTCATGGGAATGAAAGGAAAAAAGACTAGTTTGTAGGGAGTTCTGCTTTCTACAACAACTGAGGCTCACCTGTAAAATCACAGTAGAAAACTCAAAAGTACCATCGTGGTTTCAGCAGGAAAAGCCAACACAGCCTCCCCCACCTTTCCAGTCACCTGGATGTTTCCATATATTGAGTCCTGAGCAAAACACCAGGAATTTGGGATCAGCATCATGTTTGTCATGTTCCCCAAGAAGCCACAGATCCCCTTCTCCAGGTTTAAGTGCTGTGGGACTGTGGAAAACTCAGGAGCTGAATGTTTGCACTGGAACAGCAACTGCAGAATCAGGGAATCCCAGGGTGGGGTGGGTTGGAAGGGACATTAAAGATCATCCAATTCCAACCCCTGCCACAGGCAGGGACACTTTCCACCAGCCCAGGTTGCTCCAACCTGGCCTTGGACACTTGCAGGGATCCAGGGGCAGCCACAGCTTCTCTGGGTAAAGGTTTTTAAAACTCACCAACTTTAGGTTTTAAAATTCTTAAGTTGAGAAGAACAAATAATTTCCCTCTTCCTTTTAATTTGTGTTTAATTTCAACAGAACTTCCAATGTCAGCTCACCCTCCAGCACAGGGGCAAACATTCTCCTTCCTGAGCATGGAAAGGGAAGGGTCAACATTTGGGAAGAGGGCATTTTTGTACAGCTCTGGTGGAAAGCCAACAAGCAGCAAAACTGAGTTTAAACCAGACTCCACCAACACATTTCTCACCCTCCCAAGGAGTCAGAAAGGCCAGGGCTGGACTGGAGACTCCACAAGTTTCCAGGTCAGGATCTGGGAGATGCTC